CCCAGCCCTACTATCTACAGACGTCACATGCAACTCCTGACATGATTCCATCAGCGCTGCCTCCGGAAAATCCTGCAAATCTCTTGGGTAGACAAGTGGACAACTGTCAGTATGCTTGAAAAAACAAAGACCACCAGTGATGGTCCTCTACCATCAACACTGCTAGACCGGCCACGTTGTCCGAATGCCGGACCACCGTGTCCCAAAACAGTTGCTCTGCTCCGAACTCAAGAATGGAAAACGAAATGTTGGTGGGCAGGAAAAGAGACTTAAAGATGGGCTCAAAGCCAACCTTAAAAACTCTGGCATAGACAGTGAGAACTGGGAAGCCCTGGCTCTTGAGTGCTCTAGCTGGAGGTCAGCTGTGACTAGCAGTGCTGTAGAATTTGAAGAGGCACGAATGGAGATTGAAAGAGAGAAATATGCCAAGAGGAAGGAGCGTCATGCCAACCCCGACCGGGACCTCCTTCCATCTGGAAACCAATGCCCTCACTGTGGGAGAACATGCAGGTCAAGAATAGGGCTCCACAGTCACCTACGTACCCACTGCCAGTACACCTATCTTGGAAGACAATCCTACTCGGACAACAATCACTTAAGTTATCTCTGTTTTGCCTTACTTTTAATTGTCTTGCCATAAACACCACTGTGAAGAACATTTGAAGAAGAATGCATCTTTTGATAGTTGGCTTCTGCTCTGCCTAGGAAAACTTCATGACACATAACAATTCAATTTCAATTCAGTTCCAATTTTATTTTTGTCCGAGATGAACAGATATAAAATACAAACTGCTTCTTAGAAGATATAAAAAAGATACATAAAATATAAGTCTGATCTATTTATAATTAACATATCTAGCTCATGTGTAGCCACCATCATTTGTTGTAGACTGTTGACAAAACAACAATATCTTAATATTATTTGTGGTTTTAACATTTTCTGTAATATTTTACTCTATTGTATTTTATATCACACTTTTACATTTTTATTTTATGGAAAGTACAAAAACCACAAGAACTGTGATGGCGCGAGTGGCGCCAACTATATGTAGAACTGTTAGTTGCAGGATTTGAACTGTTGTATCATGCCTGATTTTGCCTTTTTACCCCGTAAATGTATAGTTGGACTGATTGGTTATTTATAGCTGTCAATCAATGTTGTTTGCACCAGTTGAATTGCTCCTCCTGCTCAATTGTTTGACCCCACCTCTTCCTAGAGAGCAGGACAGTGTTTCCTTTTCCATTCCACCATCAAACTTTCTATCAGATGGACGTGAGAGAGAGACTTGGCTCTGAAGCCCTTGATTAAGTTACCTCTCAGCACCAATTCTGAGGTTCTTACCCTTGAGACTTATGCTTCATGTTCAGATCAACCTGGTTGACGTTGAGAAGTCTCAAGTTCCTTCAAACCAGTTCTTTGGCACCAGAGGAAGGCTTTGTGCCTTCAAAATATAGGCCATTGGAATTGGGGTTGTGATTATTCCGATATTCATAGCCATTGAGAAAGAGGGACCTGAAAAAGCTTCTCAGCTGCAAAACTCCTTGGACCCAAGACAACAAGAGACTGTAATGTATATTTTCCTTTACCCCTTTGAAACTTCCAGCTTATTGCCTTAAAGGGATAACTCTTTGTGAACAATTAAAGTTATTTTGAGTTATCTACAGTGTTTTGGTCCTTGGGAGTTCCAGTTTTCCTAAAGGAGGGCAAGAAGCAATCCCCTGGGGGAAAGATGTCACGTCCATGCCTCTTTCACTAAGAGTTATAGCCGCCAGGTGCGACGGCACAAGAACTATTAAGATATTATTGTTTGATCATCTACAATAAGCGACAGAAGCTGCATATGAACAAATTATTATTATTATTATTATTATTATTATTATTATTATTATTATTATTGGAACCATGGAGTTTTATCTCACAAAAATACCTTAAATCAGAATAATCAGGTCTACAAAAATTGCTTTTGTAATTTTTAACCAAGTATTGCAATGAAAAGATTTATTGTTCAGTAAAATGTAATTTTATTAGAAAAACATGGTTGACTCATTTCACGAGCTTTGGACAGGCAGAAATGCTCTTGAAAATGGACCTTCCTGAAACTCCCTTTCAGAACCACAGATAGAATCACTTTTTAAGTTTGCCTGTTTTGCTATTCCCTAAACTCACTGTTACTTTAGTCATCTACAATAAGCGACAGAAGCTGCATATGAACAAATTATTATTATTATTATTATTATTATTATTATTATTATTATTATTATTGGAACCATGGAGTTTTATCTCACAAAAATACCTTAAATCAGAATAATCAGGTCTACAAAAATTGCTTTTGTAATTTTTAACCAAGTATTGCAATGAAAAGATTTATTGTTCAGTAAAATGTAATTTTATTAGAAAAACATGGTTGACTCATTTCACGAGCTTTGGACAGGCAGAAATGCTCTTGAAAATGGACCTTCCTGAAACTCCCTTTCAGAACCACAGATAGAATCACTTTTTAAGTTTGCCTGTTTTGCTATTCCCTAAACTCACTGTTACTTTAGTATATCAAAGAGCTAGGGACTCTAGAACATGGCTCTATAGCCCGAAAAAACCCACAAGAACCTAGTGATTCCAGCCATGAAAGCCTTCGACAATACAGCTAGGGACTTAATCACACACAATAAAATCAGAGTTTCTACACTCTACCTACTCTGCCCTTCACATGATATAAGCTTCAACTGTGGGGGTGTGGTATTCTTCCATTTCTAAGGTATTGGTTTTTCCAGCAATTCCTAAGCTGGTTGGCAATTGACCTATTTTCAAATTCCCCACGTAGAGATGGGTAAAATGGCCAATTTCCCAGTGTGATGTTAATCCCTGTCGCCCGCTAGCAAATAAAATGATGTTGTTGTGTGTGGGAGAACCCAAAATGCCCATCTCCCAGATTGCCAATACAAAGGCGGTTGGGGAAAGGGTTAATTTAAAACTACTTCCTACGATCGCCAATGCAAAAGCTCTGGGAAAAATGAGGCTTAATTTAAAACCATTTCATATGATATGGGGTGATTTTTTTTTAAAAAAAGATAAATAATTGAAATCCTGGAAAACTCAGGGAAAGTGCCACCTTAAGAAAGGTACTTCTGCTTTAGTTGAAGGCTCTTGAGTGCAAATGGCCCCGGTGCTGCCTTAAAAACAAACTTCTGTTTTAGTGGAAGGGACTTGCAGCTAGGGCTATCTTACAGGATAGTTGTTTTTAAAAAGTGTGCTGATATCCTTGAAATGGGAGGAGTCATTGCCTGCCCATGTGATGGAAAATAAGCAGATGGTTGAGTAGCTGGAGGAAACAATCATAGTGTGATGGGAGTGAGTAAATTCTTCATATTTTTAAAAGAAACTCCACCCTTTCTCCCTCCTTCCCTCTTTTTCTCCAACTCCATGTGATGAAGTCCTAGGAGTGAATCCAAAATTCTGTGTTTACTTACAAAGCAATTTTCTCCATTCAGATGGAAAGGTGTCAATTAAATTCAGTGGAACCAGTTCCATGGGAACTGGCCCTAAACGGTTCTGGCCCAGTTTACCTGTCCAAATGTATCTTCTGTTACGAACCATCACAAAGTCTATGATCATCTGGAGAAGCCCTGCTCTCGATCCCATCGCAAATGCGATTGGTGGGGATGAAGGACAGGGTTTCTCAGCAGTGGCCCCTTGCCTGTGGAATTCTGTCCACCTCCCTCCTGTCTTTCAGAAGGCAACTCAAGACATGGCTATGGGACCAAGCCTTCGACCATTGAATAGCAGCAAGTGAGAAGAAGATTTAAGGAAGTGGCGACAAAGAATTGACCCGGACCTGGCTTTGGATTTTAATTGGCATGTTTAATTAATTGCTTTTTAATTAACTGGTTTTAATTGTTTCAATGCTATGAGCCCCCGGTGGCGCAGTGGGTTAAACCCCTGTGCCAGAAGGACTGAAGACCGACAGGTCGCAGGTTCGAATCCAGGGAGAGGCGGATGAGTTCCCTCTATCAGCTCCAGCTCCTCATGCGGGGACATGAGAGAAGCCTCCCACAAGGATGATAAAAACATCAGAATCATCTGGCCGTCCCCTGGGCAACGTCCTTGCAGACGGCTAATTCTCTCACACCAGAAGCGACTTGCAGTTTCTCAATGCGCTCCTGACATGCCAAAAAAATTGTTTCAATGTTTTAATTGTATTTATTGAATGTTTATGTGAAAGCACTGATTGTGCTTGCTTTGAGGCAGCCCTGAGTCTCCCTTCGGGGATGAGAAGGATGGGTTATAAATGCAGGAAATAAATAAATAAATAATGGGAGAAAAAAGTATTTTCTGACAGAAATTTATCTTTTGGATCGATGCACATGCCTCTACAGATTTGTCCTTAGTCTCGTAACTTAATTACATTCATCACAAACCTCTGGACTACCAATACAACCTTAAACATTTAGTCTGTATGACTTCAAAGGAGAAAGATGAAGCCATATGACTCCTAGCTATAAACCTTGTTGTAAACAACTATAATGCTAAGGGTATGTGCTGACAAACATTAGGAGATGGGGAGAGTGAAACAAAGCATTTACATCCCTGTGCACATTCCTGGTGGCGTATTTTCTTACTGCTATCAGGATATCCAGCAAATGGAAAATCACCACTCAATATCTATAGGATAGTACTATCAAGTTTTGCTTAAGCTTTGTGTGGTGGTTGAATTGCATCTCCTACGAGGTAAAAGGTTATGTTGATGGGAGCACTGCTGCTGGCAAGTCTCTCAAGTCATACAGGCTTTTGCAAAGGAACCAGACTAAATGTGCTCAGTCCCTATAGGTCAGCAGCAGTAGCAGAGATTGACACTGATGAAAGATTTTTCATAAACAATGGAGAATTTTTGAAATAAAAAATACGTTTCTAAATATGGAAAATCAATCAGCCTTTAATTCTGGCATTCTGCATAATGGAGAAAAGATGACCTTGAAAAGAATTTTTTGATGGCATTTTTTTCTAATATACAGGAATTTACAACATTGTTTTTGCATGGCAGCTCTGTAGACTGGGTATGACAAACAGCATTACCATGTTGTCTGGATGCCTGACCACTGTCTCCCAAAGCAGTTGCTCTACTCCGAACTCAAGAACGGAAAACGGAATGTTGGAGGACAGGAAAAGAGATTTAAAGGCGGGCTCAAAGCCAACCTTAAAAACTCTGGCATAGACACTGAGAACTGGGAAGCCCTGGCCCTTGAGTGCTCCAGCTGGAGGTCAGTTGTGACCAGCAGTGCTGCAGAATTTGAAGAGGCATGAATGGAGGGTGAAAGAGAGAAACGTGCCAAGAGGAAGGCGTGTCAAGCCAACCCCGACCGGGATCGCATTCCACCTGGAAACCGATGCCCTCAATGTGGGAGAAGATGCATATCAAGAATAGGGCTCCACAGTCATCTACGGACCCACCCCCAGGATACTGCACTTGGAGGACCATCATCCTCAGAGTATGAGGGATTGCCTAAGTAAAGTAAATATATCATTGAAGACAACCTTATTGTGCATGTTTATCGAGAAATTAACATAATAGTAGGTGTGAATATTTGCATGTAATGAAGGCTCTTTTTCAGCTGGTTCGTATCAAACAGAAGTCTTTTTCTAATTGATTTTTTTAAAGCAGTGTGAAAGGAATGTCTTCCAA